CACAAAATGAGCACACACACACACACACGATTAGGGCTTTAGAGGGACAAGAAGCAGTGAAGGAGAGGGCGGGGAATGCCAATGATCCTTTAAATAGGATGAAATACCCCGAAATTTAGGGTTTCGTCCGCCAGCTCCTACTCGTCGAGTAGACTACTAAATGCGCGATCCCACCTCTCTGCTAGTCGAAGAGTAGGGCAACCAACTCGTCGAGTAGATCTTTCAACCAAAAAGATTTCATTTAATTCCATACCTGAGAATCGGGGCGTTAAACATGTTAAAATCCATATTTTTTTTTATTGTATTTTTGGTACGAGAAGGGCAAAATTGTAAATTTTGTTGTCTAATATTTTCATTCATACATCCATTCATATTTTAACACAAAATTATATAAAATACAAAATTTAATACAGTCCATTCATAGGTTAGTACACAAAATTCACAATTTAATAGAATTATAATATCACTAATTCACTAATTTTGGAGAGTCAACCCCAAACTCTATCTCTACCACCAACTGCCACATGTCAATACTAACTATCTATGTCAACGTTGTAACCATCATTCTTTTCAAACTAAACCTGTATCTAAAATCATGCATTGTTAGATAATACTTTATTCACAGTTTAATAAACATATTAATTCATTAATTTAGAGTTTAATGCAACAATTATAAAACCTAATACATTCTTACATATTTAGTTCACAAAAAAATAAAAAAAAATACTCACAATAAAATTAATACAACTGTTCATACTTTAACATAAAATTCATAAAAAAATCACAATTTAATACAATCAATTCACAGCTTAATACAATCAATACATAAAATTAACAACTTAATACATTAAATTCATAGTTTAATACACAAAAATTATACATTCACATCCATATTCTATACTTAGTACTTATATTTATATCTCCACACATGTGGGCTAGTGTTTCTTTCAAATTTTAATTTATATAATATTCACTGTTTGTGTTTCTTTCAAATTTTAATTTATATAATATTCACTGTTTAAAGTTTACATGTTATTCAAAATTAGAGAAAATAAAATCTATATACAATGCTTCTTTCATCTTATATTTTAGAAGCAAAAATAAAATTCGTAAAGAAACCAACAACTTAATATACTCAATTCACAACTTAATACATTTAATTCACAATTTAATACACAAATTCACAGTTTAATAAAATATATTTACACATAAAAAAAGTACATCTGATAGCAGTTCACACATTCATCACAACTCACAACTTAAAAAACCTAAATTCACATTTTTTAAGAAAACACTAATATAATAAAAACATGTTTAATTTCACATTAAAACTTATACAAACTCATACATATATTGCTAAAACTTATAAAAAATTCATTTAATCACAACTAAAACCTATGAAAAAAAAATCATGCATTAACAAATTAATACTTACAAAAAATCATGTATTCACAACTCAATACTTATAAAAAATCATGCATTCATAGCTTAATTTTTTTTCCTAATTGAAACAATGAGATATGTATAAAATCCATGCATTAATATAATTATAAAAAAAAAACGTGTATTCACAGCTTAAGAAACTAGTTCATAATCTCATTCATATTATTCAATGTTTAAAACATACCTTGTTTTTAGTGAAACATTTCATCAAACACCATCGATGCATCTTATATCCAGATATGAGATTGTTCCTTTGCTTCAAATTCATGAGCACCGATGACAGGCAACTACAACGGTGGTGTGACGTTGGTTGTGGTAGAGGTGGAATCACATCGACGATGGTAGCATCAGATATGGATGTTAGATTTGTTGGGTGTGATTTCCGTCAGATCTATTGTTTCGACGAAGCAAATTAGAGAAGCTTTTCTTGTATTCCATCAGATATGGATGTCAAAGATCCAGAGACGAATTAGATATGGACTTCCGAGCAGAGTGTGACGTTTTTTGGTGTTCCGACGAAGCACAGTAGCTAATCTTAGGCAATGGTCGATGGTGATAAGGTCGACTATAAGATCTAACCAAATCGCATAAGATCTAATATGTTTTGTGTTTTAGAGAGAGAAAGTGAACTGAAACAACTTCTTGACTTCAGATATGAAACCAAGTGGCGATCAACAGTGATGGAGGAAGGTGGTGGTTATCACCGCTCACCCGAGCTCATAATCCGAAGGAGAAAATTGAAGATTTGAATTCAAGAATAGTAGATCTTAAGACGAAAATTGTAGATATGAAGATAGAAATCATAGATCTGAAGTTGAAATTGTAGATCTGAAAAGGCAAAATGTAGATCTGAAGTTGAAATTGTAGATATAGAGCCCACCTAAACTTGTGGATGTGATGGCGTTGGTTCGTTGGCGGAAAGAGGAGGCAGGGTTCGCCGGGGGTAGGAGGCCGTGGCAGTCAGTGGTGGTGGTTGGTGGCTAACTGGTGGTAATGTTTGTGTGTTCTTCAAGTTGAGATGAGCGAGAAAATAACAATGTGATAGTGTATGTAGTGTGTGTAGATCTTGTTATAAAATAGGGTTGTTACGGTTATTAACTTTTAGTAGTTTCTTATTTGATATATACATACACACACACACACACACACACACACACACACACATATATATATATATATATATATATATATATATATATATATATATATATGAGAAAAGTGAATATACCCTTAAAGGTATATAAGTTTAGGTACCCAAACTCATAATACTACGTCAATTTGTATCATATATACATTGTAATTGTCTAATGTTCTTATAATTAAATTTCTAAATAGATTTACTTCCAAGATTTTTATAAATTTCATATTTATCTTCCTCTTATATAATTTTCATTTTCAACTATAACATATATATCGTAGTATGTGTTTGGCAAAAAAATGTGATGTAAGAAGAAGATAATCGTTAAATCTTGAAAGTAAATTAAATCTAAAGTTTATGAACATTATAATTAATATATTAAACAAAACGGGCGTATCATGGTGGGTTTGGGTACCTAAGTTTATATATATAGGATATAGATCCGGTAAGAAATTTTTTTTAGTAGGAAGGTAAGAAGTTTTTTTTCTACATATTTTTTTGACGAACAAAATAAATGAATCACTAGATTATTCATTTCTAAGATGATTCACAAGAAAAAATTCTCAAAAAAACATCTTTGTGATTCATTTTTAAGTAAATTAAGAAAAAATTCATTTTTATGATAATTTTAGTGAATAACAACAAAATCATTGTATAAATGAATCATAAAGATGTTTTTTTGAGAATTTTTTCTTGTGAATCATCTTAGAAATGAATCATCTAGTGATTCATTGATTTTGTTCGTCAAAAAAATATGTAGAAAAAAAACTTCTTACCTTCCTATAAAAAATTTCCTTCTTATTTGATCTTGACTCTATATATATATATATATATATATATATATATATATATATATATATATATATATATATCTTTACTATCTTATAAAAGAAATCTAACTATTTCTAAAAATAGATTAATTATAATAATAATATTTTTTAAAACGTCCAAATGATGAAGCTGATAGTACAAGTAACCATTAATAAAATAACATTAATTTTTAACCACATTTTGAATTCAAATATTTATCATCAAATCTCCTTATATTTCTCAGCAATTTGATATGGTTCCCTTAAATCCCGGATTCATTCAAATTTTGAACCCTTTTAGATATCCTTAAATTTAGCATGTTGATTCAAATATCCTTCTAATCGCATATACCTCTTTGTTCCTTCCTCTACTATAAAGCCTACCGTCCAGGAATAAAAAATGACTTCATCTCCCAAATAACACTATAGTTTGATTATTTTGTCTTCAACATGTACTTTCTTTTGTAACATAACATTTTTGTAGATGAAATATATCACCGAAAGAATTTACACGCCCCGCCGCTTTGCGCGGGTACACTGCTAGTATATATATATATATATATATATATATATATATATATATATATATATATATATATATATATATATATATATATATATATATATATGTGAACTCGTTAAAAGTTAAGATTAAGAACTTTTCATTCATATATTTGACTTTTCAGAAAAAAAAATATATTATATTTTATAAAAGCTTTTATTTTTTAAAATTAAAATTTGAACACTTAAAACATTTATTTATATCTTTTACAAATATATTTATATAACGAATAGAAATATCTTTTAGATTTTCATGAGTTTTTTTTGGTTTTATATAAATAAAAATATCATATTTCTAATTTTGTATTATCATTATGTTTTATTTGGTAGAGAATTAATTTTAAATAAACTTATTTTTTGTTTTTTAATATTTTTTACAAAGAAAAATCATAGCCCAAAAACAAATTGGATTGAAAAAGGAAAAACCATCATCAATAGGCTAATTACAGGTGAATGTCTAGAAGCCATTTTGAGTCCACGACTCTTTCTGGAGTACATAGTCATTTCTAAAAATCTTGTTTTTCTTACTTATTTTTCGACACTAAAGATTATAAAATAGTTCTTTTTGAACATTTCTATAATTGAAAATGATTTAATCTTTTAACTATAAGCATTTAGAATAATAAAAAGCATGACTTTCTATTCAACTTTTTTGTAATAATCATTAATCAGTTTTCCAAATCGATTTTGTTTTTAAGAGGCCCACTTTAAATCAGAAAGGGTTGTGAAATGGTAAGAATGATTCTAGAAAGTTAAAACTTAAAAGGGTGGGGCTGGCTGCAATGTTCATCAATCAAATCCCCCATCAAGAGGGTGGGGCATGTGAAAATTACAAGTGTTGATTTAATTACACAAAACACCACCAAACCCACACACACTCAGGCACCTCATTAATTAATCCCCATCTTCTTCGAATTCCCACACATTTCACAATTTCTGATAACGGAGTTATCACAGAGCCCAAAATCAAAGAGATCTGCAAATGCACACCTGAAAATCTCACCTTAATCGCATAATTTGAAGAAACCTTGGAGATTCACGAACCGAAGATGGCCAATAAGGTCTCCAATTTATCAGATCTGATCCAGCGAGTCACCGGGTCCTGTTTGCTTCACCCGCTTGGTTCCGCTCGACACTACGCCGACGACATCACGGACGACGACGATTCAGATTACGAAGAGCGTAGCAGGATGGAGAAATACTACGACGAAGACGAAGATGAAGATAAAAAACTGACTCCGGCGCTGGCGGTGGTGGAAGAAAGAGGAGATGGCTATAAAACAGAGAGACAGATGGAAATGGTTACGTTGATGAATGAAGTGTTCGAAACGGTGTCGTCTATGAAGAAGGCGTATGTTAGTCTTCAGGAGTCCCATTGCCCCTGGGATCCACGGAAAATGAGGTCGTCTGACATGGCAGTTGTAGCCGAGATGAAGAGGCTAGGGGTTTTGAGAGAGAGATTTCGGAGGAGTGTCGGCAGCGGTGTGGCGGATGCGGTCAGGAGGAAGGTTGCCGGAGTTATGCTGAGGGAGGTGGTAGCACCGTATGAAGCGGCGATGGAGAAGTTGAAGACGGAGGTGAAGAACAAGGAGGCGGAGATAGAAAACTTAAGGGAGAAGTTAAAAACGGCCACCGTGCTCAGTAGCGGCGGAAGCGGTGGTCGGAAGAGTAGGTCTCACTCCCATCATCAGTCAAAGAAAAAAGTCAACTACAGTAGTCAACTCCAAGGTACATCTTACCTTATGCATATATAGTTGTAAAGTATAACTATTTTATTGGATTAACTAGCTACCATATGTGTTCACAAAATGGTAAATCTGTCATTTGCCTGAACATTGATTTCCATGATTCTTTTGATACAAAATGAGAATGATGGAGTTTTGAGGTCTAATCAATGAGTTTTCAGATCCAAAATCGTTTAAAATCTTGTTTTCATTTCCCCCATGAAGCTTCTTTATACTTTGAATCACGTAGATTAATTGCAAGAAATTTCAGCCCTTTTTAAAAATTTAAACTGTTAGCAATGTATGTATTTTAAGCTCCTTTTCCAACTTTATCCTTTCTCTCTGGAACTTCAAAATGGTCTTGGTGATTTAAATCACTCACAAATTGCCTCATTTGTAAACAAAAAATACCTCCTGATATGATTCAAATTGCCATTTCCAGTTACATGTTTTCAGTTATTTTAAAATCCAAGAATTACATAATTTTTGCTTGGAGTATTGTATCAAGTAAATTTACAATGTACTTTCACCCAATAATTTTTTTTTTGATTTTCTAAAGTTCTAGAAATCATCGTTATTTTAAAATAAATCCAAGAATTTCATAATTTCAAACAAAATACTTTATAGAACCATACTTTCTAGAAATTTAGAAAATCAAATTTTTGTTAATGAAATTACCATTTTACCCCTCCAGTAAATTTGCTTTTAGTACAAAAAAATATGTATGTGTTTATATCTCACACACATTAACATGTTCATATAAAACAGAAATAAATGCTATTTAAATTCCTTAAGTACAATCTTATTTTTGTTCCAAACACATGGAATAGATAGACAGAAGATATCATCATAATGCATTAAAACAGAAAGAAATGCTATTTAAATTCCTTAAGTACATTTGTCAAAATTATCTTTAAACAGAATAGATAGACAGAAGATATCATCATAATGCATTATAACTTGTACGTTACAACTCTTAAGTGGGGCTAAAATGTAAAATCTCACCACAATGCATTTAATAATTAATTTGTACCCAACAACCATCTGCTTTTTCGCCATTGTTCATTATTGCTTAGCCCATGCATTGTTACTTGTACTGTACAACATTAACTGGAATAAAAAAATTTCACCCTCATGCTTTCTTGCTTGTACCTTGAAACGATTTTACTAAACTATCATGCATTGTTACTTGTACCTTATTATTCGACGACGTAACACCGCCGGCCACCATTTGCTTTGTGTAGTTTTGCCGTCGCCAATGCCGGATGTTGCAGCCACTTTTGAATCAAGCATAAGTTCAGTGAAAGAAGGATCAAAATCGTTCACCTCGTTGCTCCTATCGCTCATGAAATCGGCACACTGGGACATCGCAGCCACCGTCAGATCCATCGAAGCCTCCGCCACAAACACCCCCGCCACCCCCAGAGATTCCATTGTCGGACCGAATCATGCTAAGTACGCTCTCGAATCGTATGTTAACCGGAAGATTTTCCAAGGATTTGATCACGAGACGTTCTACATGGACGGAAGCCTATCGTCGCTCCTAAACCCTAACCAATTTCGAACGGAATGCTTCACACAATATCGCGACATGAAAGCAATGGATCCGATTGAGCTTCTTGGAATCCTCCCGACATGCCAGTTCGGAAACTTCTGCTCAAAAAAATACCTTTCAATTGTTCACCCGAAGATGGAGGAATCGTTGTTCGGAGATTTGGAACAACGGAGTCAGATCTTGGCCGGAAACCACCCAAGGACTCGATTCTACGGCGAGTTCTTAGGGCTGGCGAAGGCGGTTTGGCTTCTTCATTTGCTGGCGTTCTCTTTGGATCCACCGCCGACTCATTTTGAAGGAAGTAGAGGGGCGGAGTTTCATCCGCAGTATATGGAAAGCGTGGTGAGGTTTCCGGGAGGGAGGGTGGCGGCGGGGCATGTAGTCGGTTTTCCGGTGAGCCCAGGGTTTAAGGTCGGAAATGGATCTATTGTAAAAGCGAGGGTGTATGTTGTTCCTAAGAGTGAATTATAGGGGTGTAGAATGTAACATTGTGTAACTTAGTTTGGTAATTTGAGGGCAAGAAGTAATGGAGGGTATGGACGTTAGTTTTGTATGCATTCTTGTAAAGGAGAATGAAAGCAACAAGAGCAATGTATGTCTTTTATTGCAAATGTACAAATTTTAACTCGTTAGTACTTCAGTGACACGAATTACCTATATAAACTGTAAACTTTTTTTAATAGATTATATCAAGCTTTTATGTATGTGATTGATATATACCAATTAAACAACTAGCATAGTCATAAAGGTTTATATAACATAAGTAGTTTGATAAAAGTGAGAAAACAAGTGAAGTATGTTCAAATTTAATTTGTTTATTAAACATATATAAAGTCTCAACTCAACTCAACTTAACATGATTAATTAAACGGTTTTGTGTTTTTAACCTGACCTATTAAATAATTTGTGTTTAGGTTGCAAGGCATGCTTAAACTCATTCGGAAGCATATCATACATTTGTAACTTGATATGGATAAGAATGTTCTTTTTTGAGGTATTTATATACATTTGGTTTTCCTCCACAAAAGAAACACGTGAACTTCTTTGGATGGACAACACTTATACCGGCTAACGATTTTTGGTTTTTTAGTGGATAGGAGGGAAATACATGTGTAGATCTAATAGAGGTTACTTTCTTTTGGGCTTTTAGAAGTGAGATTTTTCTATGGATAAAAGTGCTTTAAAATTTGTCTCCTACATAGTAAGAAACATGAGTAAACATTTTGAAAATCAACATGTCTCATTTACATTTGATATTTTTGGTTGATACAACAGAGGTTTTAGAGCTCCTCGACAGCGTGCAACGGATCATTTATAATAATGTTACGACACTAAGATCTATGGATGTAATATTTTTAAGAAATAATTTTGTCGTTCATAAAGGGTTATCAACGCAGTTTCTTATTCGTTTGATTCCACGTTGATGTTAGTCGAGCCAAACCAGACATTAGCAAACTTATGGTGTTGAAATATGAAAAAAGAAACATCAAAATCTTAGATCCATCATTAATTAGATGGTAATTAGATGATAATTAGGTATTAATAGATATATCAAACTGGATAATAATTTGATTCGATCGATTTTTATTGGTAGTATAGCATCCAATAAATTAACTATCTTATATCTTCAAAAATTATCTTACAATAACACAACTTCTCTCGATTACCACTTGGGTGCTACATAAGCATCACTTTCGAAGGAAAACAAAATCACTGGAATAATATAACGTTTAAACGATACTGATCTCGATTTTATATTATTAATTTTAGGATATTGAGTATAAATTTATAATTATTTGAAATACTTATGTTGCACTACAAAATGTTGAAAACAGTGTACAACACTACAATTAGTCAATGCTCGCACTATTTAATAAGGAAATCGAGTTTTGTTGTAGTCTTGTAGAATATCGAATTCTTCACAGTTCACATGGATCACGCTCATCACGTTTAAAAGTTTTTTTTTGAACATCAAGATATTATTTAAAAAAGCCTCTCAAGAGAAATTACAAAGTCATACAAGCTAGGATCGGATTTTTCAACAATGAACCAAAGTCAAAGACCATTTTGTATGCCTATAAGGAATCCAAAAAAAAAAAATTAATATTAAACTATCTCATCAGACAACCTATCTTTTGTTGGTTACAAATGCAAACAATTAAGGACTCAAGCTTCAATACCTTAGGCAACGTCACCCCCACCGTATGGCGATCTTGACCCATATTGAGTTATTTTTCATGTTTTGGGTCTATGTTAATAATGGACTTTGATTCTGGATATGTCCAACTTTGATCCAAGATAATGTTTTATTGAGTCACGTGTTTTGTCTTCCAGTAATGGGGATAATCTAAGTCTTTTTTTATCGAGTCTTTAAGTCTGTTGCGAAGTTTTGGGATGAACGTTGTAAGCTAGAGTATGAGTTGTGTCTCTACTTATTTAAATTGTTTAGTCAACCAATAAAGTGTGTGAGTTTACAAGTTCTATAGTATCATTTGTTCTCTTCAAGTGGTATCAGAGCCAATTAAGGAGTAATCACCAAAAAAAGAGAGAGGGGAAGGTAATCATGCAAATGGGAGAAGAGTCAAGCTTTTTAGAGTCCATGTGTACCCAAGTCTGATGGGGACTACGATCATTGGAGATTAGTTATGGAAAATCTCCTTTGATCAAATGAGTACTAGCATGTAGTCGATAAAGGGTTTATGGAACCCATACCTAATAAGTAGGTCACAGCTACGCAACAAAAGAATTTGGATAAAATGAAGTTGAAGTTGAAGGATATGAAGGCGTGAAATTACCTGTTTCAATCAATTGACAAACATATTTTGAAGACAATTACCCAAAAAGGTACAACTAAACAGATTTGGGATGCAATACGGGTCAAGTACCATTGAAATTCAAATGTAAAGAGACCACAACTGCAACGACTTTGAAGAAATGCGGCTCGAAGAAACTATGACCGATTATTTTAGAAGAACAGCGATGGTAGCAAATGATATGAGGAACTGTGGAGAGGAGATGACTGGCATTAAGATCGTTAAAAAGATTCTTCAAACTCTCATATAAAACTTTAATTTTGTGGTATGTTCTATAGAAGAATCGAAAGATATGGATACAATGTTAGTGGATGGACTACAAAGCTCACTGTTGGCCCATGAATACAAGCTCAAATTGAAAGTTCCTGGAGAACAAGTGTTAAATGTTGAATACGGCACAACAACATGAAGGGTCGTGGACGTGGGAGAGGAAACTCCTACCGTGGAAGGGGTTGTCGACGTGAACGTGATCAGTTTGATAAATCTATGATGGAATGCCATAAGTGCCATAACTTGGGCACTTCCAGTATGAGTGTACAAATGGAGAAATAGTTCTACACCATGTAGGGTATGATGAAAATGAAGAATTGGTACTAATGGCTTATGTTGATGTGGAAAAGTCAGAAAGAAAGGCAAGGTGGTTCTTAGACTCAACATGTTCTAATCGTATGACAGGAATAAAGGAATTGTTTATTCGCTTAGATGAAAGTTATTCGCATACTATCAAGTTGGGAAATGATTTCAGGCTCAATGTTAAAGGAATGGGTGACATAAAGATTAAAGTATAAGGAATTATACAAGTCATAACAAACGTGTACTTTGTACCATAGTTTACTTTGAACCTTATAAGTGTGGGACAATTACATGGGACTGATGTAACTCTTGTAATCAAAATAGGAGTATGTAAGGTATATCACCCTGTCAATGGGATGATTATAATTTCAAATATGACCAAGAACCGCATGTTTTGTTAGACGGGGTGATGAAAACTCAGAAAGTTGAATGTCTACTCACTACAAAGGATGAAATTCAGATGTGGCACAAACGTTTTGGTCATGTCGATCACAAAACAATCAAAACAATGCAACATAGACACATGGTGGATGGGCTACCAAAGATTGTAGGGAAGACCAAAGTATGCAAGACTTGTGCTGTAGCGCCTAGTTCCTGGTATGTAAATCTTCATTGAGTATTTTTACTTTTTAAGCCTTGGACTCGGCGAGTCATAGGTCCGACTCGCCGAGTAGGGACGAGACACGGGACACGTTTAAGTTGGCGACTCGGCGAGTCCATATCCTGGACTTGGCGAGTCACCGTTGTTGGATTAAACCCTAAGTTTCAGGGGTTTGCACCCTATTTAAGCAACATATCCGCCCCAAGCCAGCCCCATTCACCCCCCCCCCCCCCCGAGCTCCTAACCCTCGTTTAAGCTTATTCTTTGAAGAGTTGAAGCAATTGTTGGTGTTTTTGAAGGTTTTGAAGAAGAAGGGAAGTAGATCCAGAAGAAGGGAAGCCATCCAAGTACCATTGTGTTCTCTCGGAAGTTCCATTGAGGTATATCTCGTTTTTCCCTTGTTTCCATGCTTATTGCTTCATTTAAGACATTCTTGAGCCATTCCCCAAGCTTGTATGTGCATAATGTTCCGAAATAAGCCGATTGGTCTCTTGATCCAAGCATAGTTGAGCTCCAGGAGCTCAGATCCACTACCTTCATGAGCCCATATTGCACATAAACCTTAGATCTACTCTTTTGGTGCATTTCAAACCCTAAAAGCCGCATAGATGGATATTTACACGTAAAGTTGGAAACTTTACGTGTTATTCATGCTCTAGGAGCCCAGATCTACAAATGACATGGATTGGATTCGAGCAAAATCGCATTTTTAGCTCTTGCATGGAACGGACTCAGCGAGTCGCTCATCTGACTCGGCGAGTCCAGTCGCGAGTCTCCGGGTTTGCCCCCTTTTTGTTATGTCGAGTCGTGAGGTGAGTCCAGGAGGGACTCGGTGAGTTGGAAGCCAAAACTCACCCATAATGGAACTCGGCGAGTCAATGCCCTAACTCGACGAGTTCAAGGCAATCTCCTTAGATCAAGATCAGACTTGGCGAGTTGTTCATACAACTCGGCGAGTCGCAGCATAAGTGTTCATCGGATGAAGATGAACTCGCCGAATTGTTCATACAACTCGACGAGTAGGATGAAGGACTTGAACATCAGTTTGGATGGAGAACTCGTCGAGTCAACGCCTAACTCGACGAGTAGAAATAGAATCCTGGATAGTCGTTTGGACATAGACTCGACGAGTTGGATAGCCAACTCGACGAGTCGGGTCAACTGGAAGTTGACTCTGACTTTGACTTAGGGCATGGTCGGGGGAAAAAGGGTCATTTCACCCAAAAGGCAGTAAATATTGATTGATTGAGTATGTTGTGGGAATTACAGCCGGAGGATTTCCGGAGTAATAACAGCAGCAGACAGTCGGTTCCCACACACACCACCAGCTATTTCGAGGTGTGTTTCCTTTCAGTAGTAACAGGTCTAAGGCACCAAGGTCGGCCCGTATAGACGAGACGTTAGTATTAGAGTGTGGGCCGAGCCCGTATCTCTTAATTGAGTGATTGCGATATATGCTAGTAGGGTAGAGCTGTCTATACTTGTTGTCTGTGTGATACTTGTATGATATGAGTTGGCAGTTGAGTGTGGGCTAGGCCCGTATCTCTCCGAGAGTGGAGTGTGGGCTAGGCCCGTATCTCCCAGATAGCGAAGTGTGGGCAAGGCCTGTATCTTCACGAGTGTGGGCATGACCCGTATCTCCCAAAAAGCAAAGTG